TTTTTTTTCCTTTCTCTACTCACAGGTTATATCATCACTATTGTTGAATCTCATTCCAGCTGGTCAGGACAAGTTGAATCTTATCTCAAAGACTAAGATCAGTCCAAAGGCAAGTGTAACCATTAGTGGGTGTGTCTATGGGTGGCACTTTATATTAATTAGGAGTGGGGGCGGTATTGTAATAAGAGCTCGGAAAGTTCAAAATACACTGACAACATTATGACAGAATCAGAAGTCAGTTGTACAAATGTACGGTATGTGCATGTACATGTACTTTCTTTTTCCAAAGGTTATATTTCGTGAGGGACAGTTGTTAAGTGGTGTTTTGGATAAGTCACAATTTGGTGCTTCTCAGTTTGGCTTTGTCCACTCTTGCTATGAGGTATTAATGATAATTAAAATATTAAAATTTATAAAGTTTACCATTATTCCTTTCTGTAGTTGTATGGAGGTACAATGTGTAATTATCTGTTGTCAGCTCTTGGCAGGATCTTCACTGGTTTCCTTAAACTCTATCACGGGTTTAGTCTAGGAGTGGAAGACATATTAGTGAAACCAATGGTACGTGTACATGTATATAGTGGTTGTAAACCGTCATAATTTGTAGTTTGTACTTTGTGCACGTACATGTATGCATGAATTTTTTCTTATTTTCTCCCATCATTCTTTCTCTTTTGCTCTCTGTTGTCCTCTAGGCAGATAAAGAGAGATTTAAAATTATTGCTGAGGGTAGAGATTGTGGGCTTGAAGCAGCTGCTGATGCTTTTGTAGTTAAAAATGTTAAAGATAAAGGTACGTATTGTTGTCCTATTTTTATTTTTTTTGCTTCCAATAGATTTAGTGATAGAGAAGTACACTGATGTTCATCACACTATTGGTAGAGATGGTCTCAAAGTGTTAGATTTCTTTATGAAAAAGAAAACTGATCAAATCAATAATAAAGTTAACGTGTAAGTACAACATGAATTTGTGAAGCAAGAGTGCATGTAATTTATCCATCTGATTTTGTAGTGATTTGTACATGTACATGTACATACTTCCACTCTCTCTTGAGCTTTCCTTTTAATATTACTTTCTCTCTCCAGTGCTTGTATTCCTGCTGGTTTACATAAACCATTTCCCAGTAATTCTCTACAGCTAATGGTACAAGCTGGAGCTAAAGGCTCTACTGTAAGTACATGATCATACAGACACTGTACATGTACCGTATAACCCTTAAATTAAAGCCAGATGCAAATAAACGCTGGGGTAGCGATACAATTGGAGTATAAATACGCAAATCTAGCCTCAAGTAACTCCGATGCCTTGTAGATACATGTACTTCCTAAGGTTCTTGATGTCAAATGCTTGAGTTCACTGGTTCGAATCCTGCTCTGTGCACAAGTTTTTTTAGTTTTTAAATTTTTTGAGGTCCAAATACCATTTTAGGAAGTAGATGCCCAGGCTTTTAAATTTAAGGAAATATGGTACATGTAGTACATGTACATGTATGCACATAAATTGTGGCATAAATATAATGTACATGTATGATTGTTGTACAGTTAGATGTATATCATACTAGCTTAGCATTATTTTATTCCAATACATGTACATGTACACAGCTTGCTGTCACTTTCTCTCTCTCCAAAGGTCAACTGCATGCAGATATCATGTCTTTTGGGTCAGATAGAGTTAGAAGGTCGACGCCCACCAATAATGCTATCAGGACGGTCCCTACCTACATTCCTTCCTTACGATACCACTCCTAGATCAGGTCAGTGTAGTGTGTATGTACATGTACATGTACATTGCTTCTGAATTAAGCATAATTAATGATCATGCTAGATTTAGTAATTTTTATTTCTCTATCCTGTAGGTGGTTTTGTTGATGGTCGGTTTCTAACTGGCGTAAGACCCCCAGAGTTCTTCCTTCATGCTATGGCTGGACGAGAGGTTTAGCGAATTTTGTGTCTTGGACCCCTTGATACTTTTTTGATAGGGTCTTGTTGATACTGCTGTGAAGACAAGCCGCAGTGGGTATTTGCAGAGGTGTCTCGTAAAACATTTAGAAGGAATTACTGTCAATTATGATCTAACAGTGAGTTAAGTATTGATATTTTTGTGAATTGATAATTATTTTCAAAATTTTGCCCGTACTATGCATCCAATAATTAAAAGAAGGGAATTCTCAATTTTTTTTACATTTCCTGATGCATATACATGTACATGTACTACATTAGAAGTTTGAACTGATTCCAAACATATTCCGATTTTTTACAAATAAAAGTTGCTCAAAAATTAGATTAATTTTCTTCTAAATTGAAATGGAAAAGTTTGCCCTTTTTATAATTTTGTTCATTTTTTGTACTTTATTTTTGTGGCCTTCATGATTTTTCAGCTGACCATGAAATTTAAGCCTATGAAATTATTGAAGTGCCATCCCCCTACAGGCCATGTAAACTGCCACAAAATTGAAACTACGAATTACCCCACTAGGAACAAAGCACGAAATATTAGACCCACAAAAATAACCCGCTATGCTGTATACAATGTTGTGTAGAACATTTGAGCTGATTCCAACTGGAAGTAGATTTTTTTTAATTTTTGAAGTTGTTCTTATTTTGTGTACATATAAATGTTTCTGTTTCTCCCTCAAGGTAAGGGATAGTGATGGTTCTGTTCTTCAGTTCCTTTATGGTGAGGATGGATTGGATATTAGTAAGACACGATTTCTCTCATCAAACCAGATGTACTTCCTTGAGGACAACTATAAAGTAAAGTCATTATATGCTTACATTATGTACAGTACATGCATTTCTCTTTTATGTTTCTCCCTCAGGCATTTCTGTATAGGTTGGATCCCACCTCAGCAGTGAGTGTACTAGAGACAACAAAAGCTGCAAAATACCAAAGAAAGGTATGCTACATACAGTACTGACCTACTGTACATGTATATGTTTGCCTAAGGCCAGTTGCCTTTACAACTTGCTGGCACATTTTATCAGTTTATTTATTTAATTTTATATAATAATATGTATTATAATTAGTGCTGGTAATTCTGTTATACCATATAGCACAAAATTTTCAAGGGCTGTAGATTTCACAGGTTTTTTGTACATGTATTTCTTTGAATTTTCATGAAATTAACTCCTCAAATATCAATTTACTACGTTTTAACCCTTTAACACCGATAGACGTACTTGTACGTCAATAACATGAGGGGGTGTAGTATAATTGTTATTTTTTATTTATTTATGGAAATATAACATTCTAGATAGCTTTAAAAGGTTCTCCTTTCATCTCTCTAACATATATAACATTGTCAAAGACTAAAAACAGAGTATATAGGTAGAAAAGTCCAGTAGCGCGACCCAAACTGTTCAAAATGATCAGCGGCCGAGGTAAGTCACCTAAAAAATAACACAACAACAAAAGACAGAACGTTTAGACTTACCTTTGGCTTGTGAAATCCTCTAGAAGTGAGTAGAAAAGGCGAGCGACTCGAGAGAGCTGCTTTGCCTAACATTTCAATGGAGAAAAGCGGTAGGTGTGGCCACATTTTGCTTAGCAACGGCTTAGCAACCATGGCTTCTCGACCAGTCACAGTGGTGTTTCTACTCGTAGCATCTTCTCCACTGACTTCTGCCTCTTCATTCTTTCATATCCTGCCTACTAGGTCCTGCTTTACATGATACAACTCTCTCTTTCCCTTCGCCAAGTCCGTGTATTTGAGAAAAGCGGTGAGTATCTTTACAATAGACGCTGCATTGCTTTATGCTGCTTCATTTACTATTATACTTCTTCTATCTAAGGATGAACATCCCATAAAGGCTGCTAGCAAGTTTCAAGTCTCGCAGGACAAGATCTTGAGAGATATGCATTGCTCAACTAGTACCACCAGAAAATTATTTTCATTCCAAAATTAATTTCGGTGTTAAAGGGTTAAGATGGCAGGCAGTATAGTTTCACAAAAATCAAATCCGCACAATAGATTTTTAGACAAGTTACAGCCCTCAAAAATTCTGTGCTACATGGTAGTTTGCCTGTCAGATTATGCCAATCATGTTTATTTTACAACTATTAAGCAAATTACTGTTGTGTGTTTTAGGTTGATAAATGGAAGAAGAAGCAGAAGCAAAGACTAGCAACACCAAGAATAAGGAGAAGTGGTTTTTTGGATTATTGTGACCAGCATCTTCCTGAGATTTTAGCTAAATACTCTGACAATAGTCATAGTACAAGAGCACAGGTGTGTCTTGAATGTTGATGTCTCACTGTATTCTTTGACAGCATATTGTGAATAGCATTATTTGATTAATTGGTGTAACAATTTTTTGAATTTTTTATTTGTAGGCGCATAGGTCTGTAATAGATTTATGGTATTCCTCATCACCAATGCTAAGGAAAGAGTAAGTGGTTTACAATTTTGAAGAATGTGATGTAATATAATATACACGTGTGTACGTTACTACGTTGTAAGTCATTTCTGTAACAAGCAAGCTCTTTAGTTTTTACACAAATTTTTAATGAATGATAATAAACATCAAAACAAGATAATGATCCTAGTAATCAAATATGCATGTAGCAGTATTTTATGTTTTATTGATTTTTAACCACCTCTTTGTCGAATTATGAAATGTATTCTTGCATGTCTTTCTATTTTATAGTCTTTAAATGTCTTATCATCCTCGAGGTGCGTACCTTCATAAATAAGCCATATTAGGTCACTAGGAATACCCTCAGACTTTATTATTACTTCCTTCAACTTAATGATAGGTGTCTCGTAGAAGGAGTCTTCTTTGATTTTACAAAAAAGAATAGTCCCACTCAATTTCACTATGCGTACGCCGTATAGATGAGCATATCGATCTGGAATAAGCTGCAATCGACTAATAATTTCAATAATATCTGATGCGTTCAATCTTCTGAAAGGATCATCTTCAAGGCAATTCATAGCTACTGGTATCAATATATCATCTAGTACTGGTTTAATAGAGCTAGCTCTCCTGTCCCATTCTGATATTTTAACATAAGAGCCAGGGTCTTGTGGCTTTGGCTCATATTTCTCAGTTGGTACAATAATTTTACGGGTGAGCATGTGTAGAATAAGACAACCAAAAGAAAACACATCTAACTTCTCGTTATAGACAGGATTATGAACAAGAGCTTCTGGTGGCATCAGGTAAGGATTGCCAAGGGTTGTGGTGTAATGATTTTGCTTTAATGCATCACCAAATTTAGACATACTCAGGTCTGTTATCTTTGCCTTGTAATCAAAAGTGAGGAGTATATTGCTGGCCTTGATGTTACGATGAATGATTGGAGGCCTCTTTGAATGAAGATAATCGAGTCCATTAGCAATGTCAAGCAGGATTGCTTCTTTATTTACAAAAGATGTGCTCTCTATTAGCTCCAGTAGAGAATAAGAAAAATACTCCATTACCAGCATTGGTAATTGGGACCCTCTGTTAGGATAATGAACACCAAGCAACTTCACAATATTGGGATGATGTAGTTGACTGTGAAGGATAATAGCATCACCAAACTCACTCAACAGGCTCTCTTCCTATCATTGAAATTGAACATTATCTACATCATAATTGCTGTTAGATCTATCATATTTTTACCATGGCTAACAAATCATTTAGCTTCTTCCCAGCACATAGGTTTCCATTGACTCTTAGTTCTTTGACAACTCCATATGATCCACGGCCCAACTCTTTCCTTGTCACCCTCACTCTTTGCAGTACAAGAGGTTGAAGCTTCACCTTTAGCTCTGCTGCCATGATTTTGTGCCAATGTGCTCACCACACTTCTTGGGTGGGGCTATTACATCAGTTTATTTATTTTTTGTAATTATTATAATTGTGATGTAAACTAGCATATCAGGCCGCAATGTTGCTGCACAATTATTTTGTCATATTATCCAAAAAGAATAAATAATAGTAATAATAATACTAAATGGCCCTATCAATCACATAATGTCATTAGTTACAATTGATCACTTATCCACCAACTTGTCCTTCATAGAAATGTATATTTGCAAGTCTTTCAATTTCATAGTCTTTAAATGTCATGTCATCTCTAAGGGCCATATCTTTATAAAATAGCCTCATCATATTTATAGGAATATCCTTAACATTTACAAGTGCTGCCTTTAGTGATATGATATATGTATCATTGAAGGACTCTTCTGAGACTTTACAAAAAATTTTGCCCCCATCATGAGTCACAACATATATACCACATAGATGAGCATCTCGATCATCAATCTGTAACCTACTGATAATTTCGATGATATCTGATGCGTTGATTCTTCTGAAAGGATCATCTTCAAGGCAGTACTTAACTAGAGGAATCAGCTGGTTTCCTAGTACTGGTTTAATAGAATCAGCTCTCCTGTCCCATTCTGATACCTTAATGAAAGAGCCAGGGTCTTCTGGCTTTGGTTTGTATTGATCAGTTGGTACAATGATATTGCCAGTGAGCATATGTAGAATAAGACAACCGAAAGAGAACACATCTAACTTCTCGTTATAGACAGGATTTTGTACGAGTGCTTCTGGTGGCATCAGGTAAGGATTACCAGGGGCTGTGGTGTAATGATGCTGCTTTAATGCATCACCAAATTTAGACATACTCAGATCAGTTATCTTTGGATTGTGATCAACAGTGAGGAGTATATTACTGGCCTTGATGTTACGATGAATAACTGGAGGCCTCTTTGAGTGAAGATAATCGAGTCCACTGGCAACGTCAAGCAGGATTGCTTCTTTATTCATAGCTACTCTTCTCTCTATTAGTTGTAGTAGAGAATAAGGAAGATACTCCATTACCAGCATTGGTAATTGTGAACCACTGGGATAATGAACTCCAAGCAATTTCACTATATTGGGATGATGCTGTTGACTGTGAAGAATGATCCCTTCACCCAGTTTACTCAACAGGCTATCTTCCTATTTAATATTAAAAATAATGATATATATCTATAGTACTGATTTCTGGGGTTCTTTCTTATCTAACTTACTGTATCTAGGAAGTCGTGTAGCTTCTTCCCTGCACATTGGTTCCCATTGACTCTTAGCTCTATGACAACTCCATATGATCCACGGCCTAACTCTTTCCTTGTTACCCTCACTCTTTGTAGTATAAGAGGCTTAAGATTCACCTTCAGCTGGGCTGCCATTTCTGACTAAGAAAAATAATTAAGCAATAAGCATGCATGGCCTGGGTGGGGCTCAAGGTAGGGCTGTGATTGCATCAAAGCTTTTTTGTATTTTTCACATTTCTTTTAATATCTACAAGTGACCATGCACTAACAAACTAAAAGCTACATTTATTTATATCACCACAAAACACCTGTTTTATTTTGAAACTTTTTTAGGTCTAAGTAGAATTTATTTGCTGAGCTACTGCATGCAAGTTTTTTGATAGCTAGACTTTCCAAGCTAAAATTAAAGCAAATATTGTATAGTAGGAAATTTTTATTGCAATACTTGCTAATAACAATACAATTGAAATACCATATAGCTCCAAATTTTCATCGGTCAAAATTTTCGTCAAATTTGTCAGGTACTTTTGCTTGACGAAATTTTTAACTGATGAAATTTTTGTTCCACGTGGGTAGTATGCAGATTAATAACAAAAATGACAAAAATTTTATTGACGAAAACTAATTTTAGCAAGAAATTAAGATTTTAACAAAATTTTTGACTGATGAAAATTAGGAGCTATACGGTAATATTGGTGTAGCCACAACTGAGAAAAATAATTCCATGTCTTAACTTTCTGAGCACAAATACTTCTTTAATTTTCATACTTGTTGTAATTTTGTCTCATGCAGTTGTAGTGTACTAATTGCAATAATTAATAATGTATAATCAAGAATACATAACTTACTCTTGGTATCAATGCAGTTTTTAAAACTGTCAACTTGAAACCAAATATTTATTTTTCAGGTGTTATACATGTAGATAGCAAATTATTTCAGTTAGTTGTGATGTGTTTAGTTTTATAAGACTAACATCGAGCTATGTACCATATTAATTCGTTGATTTTGTGTGAAATTAATTTTTGTGCGGACTCAAGTCCACTAAATCTAATGCCACTAGATACAAAAACATTTAAAAGCAAATTTGAGGCCACAAAATATACCAGCAGCACAGTATTCTGTGTAATACACAGAAAATATTTTTAAAACACAAAATACAGTAATTTACTGTAATTATATTAATGACTGAGATCTGTGAATCATGTGAAGATTAATTGTTGGTTTACATTTTTGTAAGTGATTGATAAAAAAACCCTATAGTAGTTAAATGAGAAATATTTTTATTAATTATGCACCAGTCAGTCATAGTAACTTTTTCCCTGCACACTGGTTTGCAACTTTGCATTGACCCATAGCTCTATAAGAACTCCATATGATCCATTCCATGAACCAACGCTTTCCTTGTCACCCTCACTCTTTGTTGTATAAGAGGTTAAAGCTTTACTCTTAGTTGTACTGCCATTTGAACATGCATGCTCAGTGCATGCAGTTAGCAGCAATGAATACCGTATAGTGGGAAATTTTGGAGGGGCTAAAATTTGGTGAATTGCTAAATTTTAGTGATTGGCAGATTTTAATTTGGTGAATTCATGGCCACGTGCCATTGAGCATGCGTATAATGGCTCAAAATGGCCGGTTTTTATTTTGGTGAATGGCTATCAAAATGCTAAATGCATCAAATTTAATCCCCTTCAAAATTTCCCGCTATACAGTATCATAGTCATTATTATTGTTAATAAATTGAGCAATTTATTGTGCATGATTTAAAATGTAATTGTTTTATAGGTTTAATGACAAGCATGATACCGTGTATTATCCCACTACATCAGTACTTAGACCTGACAGGTATTTTGGTTCAGTTCCAGAGAAACTCACATCAGACATTGAGCAGTACATCAGTACCAGTCCAACATTTAAAAACAATGGAAACCAGTGGGTTATGCTATAGAATATATTTTATAATGTATAATTTTATGTTTTTTTAATGCTTCATGCTTTGAATTGCATAGCATGTTATGTGTGTAATTTTTTATAGGCAAACTTTATTGACTCCTGAAAAGTTCAGGACTCTGTCACAGTTTAAGTGTTTAAGAGCAGTAGCTGAACCAGGAGAACCTGTTGGACTACTAGCAGCACAAGTAAAGAAAAGGAATAGACAAAATGAGATTATAATTGTGTTTTCTTTTATAGTCTATTGGTGAACCTTCCACTCAGATGACATTGAATACATTTCATTTTGCCGGTAGAGGAGAAATGAACGTCACACTAGGGATACCACGTCTAAGGTGATGCACATTGCACACACGAATACATGTATACAGTGAATATAAAGTGATGAAAATTTGTATGGCTCAAACCCTTTTAGACTAGTCGTCTAAGGTGATGCACATTGCACACATGACTATAGTGAATTAAAATTTGTCAAAATTTATATAGCTCAAAGCCTAAAACCTTATTTTTTTATACTAGCTTGTAAAATTTGTAATTTGCCCTTGTACTCTTTCTTTTGATTCCTACATGTACTTTCTCTTTCTCCTCTAGAGAGATATTAATGACTGGTAGTCCTAATATTAAAACTCCAGCAATGGATGTACCACTACTACCACTGCCTGATGCAAAGGAGCAAGGAGAGAATATCAAGAAATATTTCAGTCGAGTATTACTAAAAGATGTAAGAGAGAGAAGGGATTAGAATGGAAGAAATGAAAACTCGATTGGATTGTTAACTTGTGAACTTGTATTTTTTTGTAGGTTCTTGATTCTGTTGAAGTGTGGGAAAGTCTGGATCGGAAGGGGGAGGGGTTCTATCACAGATCTTACGTCATAAAATTAACATTCTTAGATCCAAAGTATTACAAGGTATTTCTATTGTTGACTTAATTAATATTGAGCCAATTTTGATTAAAATCAGAGCCACATGTGCATGGTGAAATTTGGCTAGGACCCTGTATGTAAAGAGTCTTTGTGGCCCAATTTTTTGCAACTTTAGAAATTTGTAAATAAAATCCAATTGTGATTGAAATCAGCTCAAACTTTCGACAAAACATAGTACATGTATGCATATCAGAAAAGGTTTTAAAAATGGCAAATTATCTACTTTTATTTTTTGGCCATACATGTATTTTGCCAACAAGGACAGGGACTTCTGACCAATTTTGGAGCATCTTTAAATTAAAAAAAAATACAAATGTAATTCGAATCAACTTAAACTTTCTAAACAACATAAGAACATGTATACATATCAGAAAAAAATTATTAAAAATTAATGGCAAATTCTCTCCCTTTAATTTTTGACAAAATTTAGTTTATGACCCTGTACTGACCCATAGTACAGAGACTTTGGCCCAATTTTTGAGTTAGTTTAAAATTTTCTAAAAATTTTAATTGAAATTCACTCAAATTTTGACAAAATGTTCCGTACTATAGCTACTATTATAGTACAGGGTCTTTTGTTCCAGTTATCAGTAGTTTATTGTGTAATTTTTAGGATGAGTACATTGTGACTCCTTCAAAAATATTAGAATTTGTTGAAACCTGCTTCATCAATAAACTAACAGCAGTCATTAGTAAAGAAATAAAGAAATCAAAAGATAAACTGTAAAGGAATATACACATATTGTATCTTAAAGTACCTCTCCTCCTTATCTAAGATTAAAGACTCCTGGTACATATGTAGATAAAGACTCTATCCCTCAACAAAGTTCAGGAGATGATGACAAAGACATTGACAATGAAGGTACAAGTAGTACTAGATCTAATAACCTTATGAAGAAACATTCTAATATTTTTTGCATCATATTTAGGAATGGGTCATGATTCTGATGATGATTCTGATGAGTCTGATGTAGAAGAAGCCGAAAAAGCTATCAAGAATAAGAAACAGGTAGGGATTGTAACACATGCATTTATTGAATTATACCAAGCCTGCACACACACACACACACATTGTAATGATACTCTTATATACAGTAATACATATTGCTTTACTATACTGCCTTTTGCAATGAGCATAAAATTGCATTATATTGCTGTTTTTATTGTTGTTCTTATATATTTTTATTGCTATTGTTAGCAAGTATCATATGAAGCAGCTGATGACGAGGACATTGAAGCAATTGAAGGAGAAGAAGAGGAAGGAAAGGAGGAGGAAGAAAATGAAAAAGACACAAGAAAGGACAACAATGAAGAAAGTAATTAAAAGAAATGACTGGTGATGCCTAGCTGCACATATACATGTACATGTATGTACATATTTTGTAGGTATTCAATTAGATATGGAGGCAGAATCAATGTATGAGCCACTCCCATCACAGAAGAGTACATCAATGGACTCTAGTAGGATTGAAGTAGGTTAATGTACATGTATCTGTAATGGATGATACAATGTGTGTATGCATTTATTTATAAATAAAATATTTTTATTTTTAATAGGCAGTTGTTTCCAAAAATTCTCACTTGTCTGAGTACATATATGATGCAGAAAATGAAAGATGGTGTCAGTTCACACTAAAAGTAAATTTACTAATGTGAACTATCATTTAGTTATTAATAATACAATATTTACAGTTTGAGACTGGTAATGATAAGATTATGATGTCTTATTTCATAGAAAAACTATCGAACAAAGTATGTCCGTATTTTCATGCAGTATTTATGATTTTCTTAATTTTATGTAACTTACGTTTTAAGGTTGTTGTTTGGGAGGTTCCTGATATTAAGAAAGGATTCCTTGCCGAGAGTCAAGTTCCTGGAGAAGAGGGACTCTACCGTTTGAAAACTGAAGGTGTCAATATGCAGGTATAATATAGAGTAGTTGTTAATTATTACTTCATAATCAATTATTTATTACTACCAGGAACTATGGAAGCATTCTGATCTGCTCAATGTTAGGAAAGCATATACTAACAATATACACATTATCGCCTCCACTTTTGGCATTGAAGCTGCTGCTGTAGCCATTATCAAAGTAAATAAGCATGTACAATAAGTGGTAGCACATAGGATCTTATTCGTGCTATTTCTGTATGCTTCTCCTACAGGAAGTATCAAGTGTATTTAATGTGTATGGCATATCAGTTAATCATCGTCACCTGTCCCTTATTGCTGATTACATGACATTTGATGGAGACTACAAGTCCTTCAGTAGGTTTGGTATGAACAGTAACAGCTCTCCATTCCAACAGATGAGTTTTGAGACTACAATGAAGTTCTTAAGAAGTGCAACAGTTAGAGGAGATGTTGATACACTTCGGTCACCTTCAGCTTGTCTGGTGACTGGTAATGTGGTCCATGGGGGGACTGGAGCTTTTCAATGCTTACAAAAACTAGTTATATGATCTTGATACTAGTTTTATTCAAATTATTATTATCATTTAGATTAATTGAAATACAGTAGTAAAAAACGTGACATGTGTAAGTATATTTTTGGCATGGATCAAAACAAAATTATCAAGTATTAAAAGCAAATAATTTAAATCAACAAGAAAAATGTTTTATTAATTTTTTGGATGTGACACTGTGACAGTTGAGAAACTTTGATCGTTGTCACTATCCATAGTCATATGAAATTCAATAGATGAAAATGTTAGAGCCTTTTTATCACCACGACCAGTTGACATGAATGTTGTTGGGTATTTGTCACCAATATAACAGCCTGGTAAATTGCTTGGATTTTCTTTTTCGTTATCAATTATTCTGTCATAGTGCAGTAAGTCAAATAATTCATTTATAGACTTAGATGAACTGAGAATCATGAGTGCTGTTTTATTTGGTTTTCTCAACTTTATTGTGTAGTTACGGAATGCAACCACAAAAAAACACTGCACAGGCTCTGGTTCACAAGTAGTGGCTGAAAAAAATATCATGGCAGCACATCCTAAACCTTCTGAGGGACTTGTGCACTTCTCAAAGCAGTAGCTTGTAGTAATTCCTGGTGGAACACTGTTATCAAATCCAACATAGCAACCTTCATGACCTCTGGCAATAAAACATGTATGGTATATAATTGTTGCTGGCGTTTCATTAGCTATAACAACAAGACTACTAAAGGACCTCTTGTTATGTGAGAGATAATAAGCCTCATCAGGTACTGATGCATGCATTGTGTATTGCCTATCTCTGCCAAATCTCTTCTTTGTACTTCTTCCTATGCTCTATTTGAAATAAAACAGGATTTCTAATTATTATTGTATTACATTATTATTATGGACAATGGCATTGAGAAGTAATCATACATTAATTTTAATCACCCTTGTTTGGCTTATAATTTATTGTTACACTTAGATCAACTTAAACATGGCACATAATATGCCACAAATAGCACTTAGCAGTGTGCTAAAATTAAAACTATTACAAACTGGATACTGCTATGTTCACTAGTATAACCGGTAATTTTGGAGAGGTAAAATTATGGTAAATTGCTAAATTTTTGTGATAATTTAATTTGTGAGTATAATTTTTGTGCATGTGCCATACAAACTTGCCAAATTATTCCAGCTCTAGCTGTACAATATACATGACATGAACTGATTAATTTAATAATTACATAATACCTCATTCATTTTGACATCTTGCGCACTGCTTTCAGTATCTGTAATAAAGAGAATAATCAAGCCGTATTAATTTACACTAGCTTATGTTGTGCTTTGTAAGATGCATATACCTCTGGTCTGTGAAAATTTCCCATCAATTCTATTTGCAATTTCTTCTTTTCCTACAAGTTTCAAGGCTTCTTTCAGATTTTCACATGTAGGTCCTCCTTTATCATCAACTAAATCACTCCATTTTAACCAATGTGACAAGCACTCCTTAAGGCAATTTTCCTCAGTCAAACAGCATCTTTCAATTTGTTTTATTGTGCTATCCACAAGGCCCAAGGATGCACCAAGTTTATCCCAAGGAAGTGATCCTTCCTCAGCAGCCAACGTATCATACAATTCCTGCAAATCATCAACACCTACATACATATTCATATAAATTATAATCAAAGTAACTATTCCTACTGAATTCTCCTTTTCTTTTATCTATGTTATTCATCTAAAATTAACATGAAGTACCAGTAACATTCAATGTTTTGATAACTGAAATGAACTTACGTACATTTACATAACGTTTCAACTCTTTTACCCATTCTCTTTCATAAAATAAACAATAATTGTCATTCCATGATAATGAGGCTTACTGAGCTACATATTCATTATCAGCAATAAGATATAAATTATGTGCTTTATCCTGATCAGTCACTTTAAAACAACATTTGGGATCAGCATCATGTGGCCACTTCCTTTTAGCACGATCTAAGTTTTTTCTATGACGCACTCCAACACATGTCTGCAAAACAATAAAAATACATAACAATTTTGTCATTGATCAACCTTCATGTCATATGTGAGCTTGAGTTGGCCATTTTTCTTAGTCTTGAAGTGAAGATACATTAATTTGGTGCTTCTTTTCGTAACAGATACATATTCTTTTTCATATGTATTCTTTGAAAGAATATCTTTTTGTGTTTGTCAGAAGTAAAAACATATTTTCAACTTACGACTATTTCTTCTATAAAGATTTGGCTCTAATACTTTTTCATTTGATGCTAATAAAAAGATAAAAACAACAGCATAACTGTGTCCCAATGCATATTTGCTCCACATGCCATGTACATGTACAAGATACCCAATTTTATGAGATACTTTTGCGTGGTAAATTTTTTCTTCTGAATTTGCAGTTTGGAATTATCAATATAATGATAAAAACATTTTGGTATTTTAATAGCAGTATAGGATTTGTTGAAAAGCAATAACGTTGCTACACTGCAATCAAAGTCTTTAATGATATGTATGTTTCAGGGTGCTCATTCTTCTTATTACTGTTTTACATGTTGACCATATCATTCATCTTATAACATTGACCCTGCCCTAAGCAACATGTTGCTTACAATTTAAATGTATGTGGTTACTTTGATCTTGTATCTAAGATTAGAAATCTGTTCTATTTTTGGAACAAGTTGATTAAGATCAAAGTAACTATTTTGCAACATGTATGCTGGACTTAATTGAAATATCTAACTAAACCATAATGTTTACAGGCACTTCTGGTCGTAACACATTGCAATATACATGGGAGTAATTTTTAGGGAGAGAGAGTTAATTGTTTGTACATATACTGTTTTTAATGTTGCTCACAATAAAATCACAAAAGTAATAATAACTTCAAGATAGTTAAACAAACTTAATTAGTTAATACATTCCAATTCATAATTTTTCTAATCTAGTTCGGCCACTAAAATAATAATAAAAAATAGATTCTGACCTTTTAATATTTCAAATACTTCAATTATATTGGGCCGTTTAGGTGGGTCATCAGAAAGACACTGCTTTGCTAAAGAAACTAATCCAACAGGACTGTCTTCTAGTACTTTTTCAACTACTCCATGAACTCTCCTTTCCCATTGTGACGCGAAGGCTTTAACAGAAGGTGATTGATCAACTGGTAGTGCAGGAAGTTGGCCAGTGAGCATATGTAGAATAAGGCAACCAAAAGAAAAGATATCTAACTTCTCGTTATAAACCGGATTGTGTAAAAAAGCTTCTGGTGGCATTATGTGAAAATTACCAGGGGTTTGGGTTAATCTTTTGTGTCTTTCTTTGCTGACTAAAGATACTCCCAGGTCTGATATCTTTGCAGTATTATAGTCTTCAGTCAGCAGTACATTACTGGCAGTCAGGTCACGATGAATAATGGGAGGCTGCTGTGAATGAAGATAACTGAGACCAATAGCAACATCGAGAAGAACAGAATATGGATCCAGATCATGATCATCTCGGATGTCTTGATCTTTGCCGAGTAGTTTGACTAAAGTATGAGGAAGAAACTCCATTACCAGCATTGGTAATTGTGAACCACTGGAATAATGAACACCAAGCAACTTCACAATATTGGGATGATCTACTTGACTCTGAAGGATAATCTCATCACCAAATTTACCTAGTTGGTAATCATTTTCCTATTTCCAGCAAAGATCTAGATGATAGTAGACTATCAATATGAAGTGTGACTTACCGGACAAGGTTCACTTGCAACTAAGCAATTGTGGAGTTTCTTTCCAGCGCATTTCTTCCCATCAACCTTCAACTCAATAACAGCTCCATAAGATCCACGACCTAACTCTTTTGTTGTTTCTTCCACTCTGTCCAGCAGAAGATGCTGAACCTTTTCTTTCAGCTGCTGAAAAGCATCAATGGGCTCTGCCATCATCAAGTTCAGTAGTGCACACTGCAGACTGAGCAAAGGCAAGTTGCTTCTTATAGGGAATTCAATTCCCATGTGAGCACTGGCACTTGATAGGTTCAGAGTCTATTGGTCAGATTTGCATTCACCGTAAGACAGGAAGTTCAGTCAATATAACCCATTGAATGGCCGGCCACAGGTAACATAAGGTTATGTCAACTGTGACCACCAAATGACTGTATGGGCTAGCAAAACTTTATTATTTTGGTGGGCAAGCAGCCATCTGAATTGCTTGGATAAAGCTAGAATATGAAATGAGGGACTGGCTATGCAGGATTATACACATTATTGACATTAACAATTGAAATAAAACATTAATTGTTTTCTTGATACACAGTGTCCAGTGAATACCACATGAGCTGGCCATTGCTTTCTTCCTCAGATCTCACATTGATGTACTTAGTAAAACTAAGTGTATCTGCATCATTTTTATATACCAGCTGTAATGAATTAGGAGTTGGATTTAGAGTGAGAAGCTATGATGAAAGAGAGAAGAGAACAAAAATAGATACAGTGGAGGAATTTGCTATATGCATTGCATGCCTGAACCATAGGCATGCATGCTCAATGACCACAAAAATAATCAGCACTAAATGATACACCCACATTCCCCCCAAACCTATGTAAATAATGATTCAATACCTCTTCATCTTCATCCTTTACAATAAAAGTTACACAGCCACCAAACTCAGTTGTCCATTCTGTATCGTACAAAGAGCATTTATTAAGTCTCATGTAAATTGATGGCATGCTGGCAAACAATATACATCCATTCTATTAATGTAAAAACATTACATGTAGTTTCTTACCTTCTGTATTAAAAAATAGCTTTGCTTCAAGTGAGAACTCTTCTGCATCCTCTCCATTAACAGTGCTGGCACTATCACTCATCAGTGTGTATCCACCATGCTGCCAGCGGTACCAGTCACCATGACAGTTACAAGGAGTGTTATTACCCTCTGGTATAATGGATACATCATCATTAGGGTTGAGGTTTAGAGTATGAGATGTTAGCTGTAGGCCAGTAAGATGAGAGAGGAGGAGACAGAAAGGCTCAGACAGAAAAAGGGAGTGACATTCAGTAGGTGACGGTAACAGTTTGTCTGGTTGGGCAACTTCAATATTTCTAGGTTCAGGAATAGAGAAAGTTAGCTACAATAAGAGTATGACAGTATGTTTATTGTTTAAGATATTACAATGAAAATTATACTTTTCAGTATAAATATTTATTTGTTCCAGAATGCATAATTATTAACCTTTTATTAGGTGGTCCTCTTCTCTCCCAGATGTTTACCTTTTTATTTAAGTCATTGCACAACAACTTATATTTATCCTCCTACAAGTACATATCAATACATGTAAGTTAATCTACATAGAGCAATAAGAGATTATGCTATAATTACTATTAGTTCAATGGACAAGGGCACAAGAGAATTGAGTGCATTGTCATGTGAAATAACTGCATGTACATCATGTATACATTTAAGTTATTATTGTCATTCCAGGTAATTGCAACTAAATTTGGTCAATTTGCATAAACTTTTGACAATGAAAAAACTCAATAAGTACAGTGCACATAAACACATCCTCTTTTACAGTTATTGCAAGTATAATGCATTTCTTATTTAAAGTGTACTCACTATTAAGAAGTCAGGTAATTCAATTTGTGATTCACTCTCAAATTGTTCCCTTATCTGTGATTGTGTACCAACATCAAGATACACTGGACTAACCCACTCCGCCAACACCTCTAACTGGTTTGACAAGTCAAACAATTATTAATACAATGTTAACATACTGGTTTATCCAGTGGGTGGTGCATTAATGGCATGACTTCCTTATAAGGAGATGGGCGAGGCAATGACGGCCCATGAAACCAGCCACTGATTGTTAGACGAGTCTTTGAAGCCGTCAACACTTCAGATACCTAACACATGTGAGTGGGAAATCTGATTGATAGATTGCATAATGAACTACTGTATAGCACTTACATGTACATGTACATTTTCATGGATAATAAATTTCACTAATTTTGTGGATGGTTAAAATTGGTTAAATTAAATTCTGATAAAATTTCCTTGCCACACATTGTTGAATGAATTAATAGGTCATTTTGTGAAATTTTTTATTTGTGAAAGCTATACATGTGCAGGAAGATATTTGATGTCCACAAATATAAGTGCTACACAAGGTACAGTATCTTACTTGATGGAAAGAGGCTGGAGTGACTTCAAAGAATATAAAAGAGTTCCACAAAGGAACAATAGAATGGACTATCTGATGAGGCTGACCAAACTCTACATAATAAAATAACTATTACTGTATAGGGGGTATATTTCCCGGGGAAAATATTTCACGAAAATTACCTTTCAACCTGTTCACAAGGAAAAATTTTCACGTTTTTCTTCTACTGACCATTATTAGTATGGTAAAAAATAATTTTCATAGATAAAAATTTTCACGAATTTTTTAAGACCGTGAAATTAGCGAAATTAAATCCCCATGAAATATACCCCATATACGGTATTATAAATTACAAATGTACATACCATCAGTATTGAATATATCAAGTGTCCCTATAGAGTGAAGAGAATAAAGTATTAATGTGTGCCTTAATTTGGCAAATCTTCAATAAAGATGAGCTTGAAACTTTTATTTGGTTATTTTTATGCACACAAGCATGCACATTAATGATTGGCAGTTTAATATTCTGGCAATTTCTGCTATTTTAATTTTCTGCTATTTTCTGCTACAATAATGTAAATGGTGGCTTTTTAAGTTGCCAATTTTTGTATACACAATACAAACATTACCACTGAGGATTTACATTAATGATTGGCAGTTACCAAAATAAAGTGCTATACAGTAATTCTTACCCCCATCTTTCTTCTCCCATGAAGGATCTACAAGATAGTATATGTATGCAATCCTTCTACCCTCCAGCTCATCATCATGACACAATAATACATCTACAAAGAGAGAGATAACTCTACATCAAATGAGGGTATACATATCAGTCACGTGACCTGTATAATCGTATTTAGCACAAGTTGCATCCACAGTCTCATACAGGTCAATACCAGTTAGCTCTCGTAACCATGGCAGTACACCACTTATTAATAAATCCCTAGCAATTAAAATAGCAGAACACTTACCATATACCATATAGCAGGTTTATTTCGAGGATAATTTTCACAAATGGCCTGTATCCAGAAGTGCACGGAATTAATTTTCACGAATTGCTACTTTTCTGCCATCTTGTACCATATTAAATTGATATTTAATTTTGCGAATCTTCACAACTTGGCAATATTTGCAAAATTTTTTATCCTCAAAATAAACCGTTATATGGTAGGAAATTAGCAAATTGAATTTTTCATCCTGTCAAAATTACTAGCTACACTATATGTACCAAATGACACAATTAACTAATAACAATAAAAATTAGGTTTTACCGAAATTGTTTTATCTGAATTGACTTTGCTTCTTTAAGATCGTGTGACTAGAACAAAATAACAACTATGAATAATAATAACAACAATAATGATAATTACTTGTTTGAATTGGTAGAGGTCGTTGTTCTTGTCAAAAAATTTCAATTTCATTAGTGAAGACTTAAGATCTGATACATAGCCCCTCCCACTTCCTGTCTCCATGCTTCCTGTCTCCACTTCCTGGCCCTCACTAATGAAATCCTTAAGAGTCCAACACATGAATGGATCAAAAAGGACATTTGCGAACTCTAAGTAAAGTTTGAGCATTGAAAAACATGCAACTTTATCTTCACCTGATTGAAAAGGCTCCATTTTTCTAAAAAATAGAAATTTTGATTATATATACTAATTGACAAAAGATGGCGGATAATTAAATTTATCTTTATATATATATATAGTGTAAAAAGCTATTTTGTATTTTTGTAAAGAATGCTTTTCAATCATCACACAGAAATTGATATTTTGTAGTACTATCATAACAAACGTATCATAATAAATTGTAAAATCCTCCTAACAGTAATTATTAAAATCAGTTAATTAACTTTAATAACTAATAATCTAGTCCCCGCCCGCCCACGTGCTAACCTCCAAGCGCTTTTCATATCTTTAAATAGCTTTCCTTTAGTACTCATATAAGCATTGTTGAGCTCTGGGACACTATTCTCTCTCCTCGCTTTCTTACTAGACTGACCAGGACCTGCTGTAGGCGCCAATGCGGGGAATCCAACAGGAGCAGGAACATCATCGCCATCAGAGACCCGTTTTGCCATCGTTTACTTTTGGATATCACCGTATACTGACTTAAATTTGTGAGTGATTGGTTTTGATAATTTTTATTAATATTTTGTTTTATTTCTAGTTCCTGTTATTTTTATTGAAGGCAGCACAGGATAGTTCTATTCTATGGTAAGGAATAATTTTAAATTAATTCAGTACTTTGGGTGCATGTGATGTTTGAACGTAAATTATATCATAGATATTATAGACTACGTAACCAGGATAGGAAACTAGGATTCCCCTGGCGAACAACGTTCGTGATTGGATTGGGCGTTAAATAGAATAAATTTGATTATGTGGCTTGCTTTTCATGTGGAATTAATGAATTTTTGGTTTTTAAGCAGTATTATAGTCAAATGCTTTGCATGAATTTAAATGCTAACCCTCCAATTCCATGCACACAATATCAAACTATCCTCATCCAATAGGAGAACCCTTTGCTTGCTGTGTAAAAGCTGTAACAGGTACAACAGTGGACTGTTCGCAAAAACAGTATTTTAGTTATTACTCCTCTAACATAGCGAATCAGTAAATAAAACTATGACAGTTCCATGCACAATGATTGTGGCAATATCTTCAATGATCTTGTTAGTCTATTTTTGCCTGTGTGATAGTGCAACAGGTACATAAAGTTTTTCAAATTTGCAACTAACAAAAATTTGAACAAAATCACTGTACATGTATATTTGCAAAATAAAAATGGTATCAGTATTTTTTTCATTACAGTCATGTCACACAAACATTGAAGTATTGAGATATCATTAAAATAACAAGAAATCAACATTGGCTTGAATACAATCTTCCTTGAAATGTCATCGATGAGTGGCCATTTTTTGACCACACCCACCAAAATCCAATGACAGTCGTTGGCTGGGCAGTTGATACTGGTTTGAATGGATCACGTGAGCTAGTTTCCTATCCTATGGTTACGTAGTCTCTAATATCTATGATTATATAAGCCATATTTGTATATTTATATCTCTCCTGTGAATGACGTTTCCAATTTATAATGATATTCGTTGGGATACTGTAAATAGAAAATTTTACAGGCCGCCATTGTGGAGGTATTGCTGCACTGTTTCCAATGGAGCTCGATACACTTTCTGCCGTTTTGTAAGAAGAGGAAGCAATTATAGTCTCAAAAGTTAAAAAATTGCAACCTTTACTATGATCTTTCTTTTCAGTAGTCTGCAACTGTTTAAAGCCACTGGAGTGACGTGGAGAAGTAGAATTGACAGTTTTTAGCCTGTTGGTCCATTGTAACTAGTGATAGTATACCTCCACTATGACGGCCTGAAAAATTTTCCATTTACGGTATCCCAATGAATATCATTATAAATCGGCAACATCATTCACAGGAAAGATATGAATAGAGCTGTTGCACAGATGTAATCAACGAGGGGGTGCGGCTATGACTGTCCGCCATCTTGAGTGGCAAAAATGTACATGGTGGAATAAGGAGAATGGAGAAAAAATCTGAATAAATTTTGCAGTTGATGTTACAGGCTAATGCAAGCTACGAAATGAAGGTATTGAGTAAAGAACTCTCTGTAATATTCTTCAGCAAAGTATGATATCTCATCGTTGGAGAATCTAAGTTTGTTTTTCCATCTCCATTTGTCCTGTGTACATTCTTGCCACCCAACATGGCGGACAGTCACAGCTACACCCCCCCCCCCTGTTGATAACATCCGTGGAACAGCTTTATATTGCAACCATTTATAAAAAGGTCGCTGTAGGTTAATCTTTCTATCTTCCTCCTCTTTTACTGTTAGCTGGTTGAGTTGAAGAATGGTAAGATGTATAATGGTCATTTGGTTAGTTGTGATAACTGGATGAACACTGATACAAAATGACTGAAGGAAGTCATATGTACATTATGAGTAAGACTCTCGGTAAGACTATATGTCCACTTATTATATGACATGTACATGTATTATGCATATAGTATGTCACTTTAATTTCTATGTACATCAAAGTGTGTGTTACAGAGTAGCAATTAATGATGTTTTAATGTTTATTGTATCATACTGTAGGATGGTAATAGGTTTTGGAAGATGCCAGAGTGTTTCATGAGAGGCGGTATGATTAAATACTTAAGAAGTCCTGATGAGGTAAAAAGCACATGTACATGTATACATTACATGATGCAGTACAGAATTTCAAGGCATAGCATCACAAATTTTTTAATAAGATAAACACATACATGTGCAGCAATAGAATTTGTATATTCTTAAGCATCTTTTCTACAGATATTGTTGTGGGAAGCAGCTCAAACTTTCTGCATAGCATAAATACATCCATATGCATCAGTGGAGTAATTTTGGAGTCAATTTTTGGAGGGCTGATTTTCAAAAATTGGTTAGTTTTTTAATTGGCCATAACTCAAAAAATATATGCCAGAAACAGCTCCAAATTTTTACACAGCATAAGGATATTAATTTATATCATGAAGTGTAATAAAAAAATTTGGGTGATCGTGGAACCAATTTAAAGAAAAAGCATGAGCTATTATATACACGTAGCCTTTGCTATTTTTGAAAAATTGATCCATTTTGAAAAATGGTCATGCATGGAGCTTGAAAAATGGTTGTCGGAAACAGTTCAAAATTTCTACATAGCATGAGGACATCAATATGTATTAGAAATTGTAATAAAAATTTGGGACAATTTTGGAACCAATTTTTGGTAAAAAGCATGCATGTAGGCTATAGCCTTTGCTTTTTGGCCTCGCCTGCACAAGGTATAGGTAGTTGTTGTGTCTGTCTGTCATTCGTTCATTCATTCTGTACAACTGAAATTTGTCTTTAATAAACAATAACTTTAGCACAGTGTGTTCTAAGCTCCTAGGTCTTTCTTTTTGACCTGGAAAAGTCTTTCTTAACTGTTTTGTGTTGCTTAAATACAAGCGCTAGGTACAGAAGCTTCAAAGTAAGAAAATCGAGTAGTTGAGCCAAGTTCCTTTGTGTTTGCACTTTAGAGATAGCTAGTAGCATTTTCCAACATGGCCTTCAAAAAATATGAATATATTTCTCTAAATCTTACTTGATGAAGAGTTATACTTACTCAAAATTGTGGAGGTCACTCGTTTGTGAAGCGCTTGAGCAACAACCTGCTGGGTTATAGTTACTAAAGTACCTATAATATCTCAAATACACAAAGGCAGCAACTTTTCTGTCAGCAAGTTTATCATGTATTGATGATTAGTAAAGAAAAATTGAAGCTTCTTTCTCACATGGTCTTCTTGCTGCCATCATTGCAGTTGATGATGTAATGCCACACCTTTCAAGCTACATGCATGGGAGGGGCTGGAGCTGCTGCATGTATGTGCTGCAGTGCTGGTACTTCTGCAGGTATTCAAGAGCAAGTGCAACTGCAGGAAGCTAATGTTGAGCAGACTCTCTTCATGTCGTTCTTTTAACGCTGATAATTAAACAGCTAGGGCAAGCACTATAACAGCTATAGGGGCGAGTCCACGCACCGTAGGTGTCTCGTTTCTGAAATTTTACTACTTTTTTAAAATGGCTGTAACTTTAAAAATGTTTGTCAAAAACAACTCAAACTTTCTGTATAAGGACTTCAATTTGTACATGTATCAGATAATGTAATAAAAATGGAAGTGTGATTTTGGAGCCAATTTTTGAGATAAACTGCCTTTGCTTTTTTTAATTGCTTGTTTTTAAATGGTCAGAACTTGAAAATTATATTTGGAAACATTAATCTTTCTGCATAGCATAATTACTTTTATACATTGTAACAAAATTTAGTGGTCTTGTAAACTTGTAATATTGCTTGAGCAATTTATAGAAAGTATATACTGTTTATTATTGTTGTTCTTATTTAGCAAGTATCATATAAAGCAGCTGATGAGGACATTGAAGCAATTGAAAGAGAAGAAGAGGAAGGAAAGGAGAATGAAAAAGACAAAAGAAAGGACAATAATGAAGAAAGTAATTAAAAGGAATGACTCGTGATGCCTGCACATACCGGTATACATGTACTATATGTACATATTTTGTAGGTATTCATTTAGATATGGAGGCAGAGTCAATGTATGAGTGGTCACTCCCATCACAGAAGAGTACATCAATGGACTCTAGTAGGATTGAAGTAGGTTATTGTATCTGTAATGGATGATACAATGCATGTATTATGCATTTATTTATAAACAAAATATTTTTATTTTTAATAGGCAGTTGTTTCCAGTAATCCTCACTTGTCTGAGTACATATATGATGCAGAGAATGAGAGATGGTGTCAGTTCACACTAAAAGTATTATGAACTATCATTATTTTAGTTATTATACACTACAATGTGTACTTACAGTTTGAGACTGGTAATGATAAGATTATGATGTCTTATTTTATAGAAAAACTATCAAACAAAGTACTTCCGTATTTTCATGTAGTATTTATGATTTTCTCAATTTTATGTAAATTATATTTTAAGATTGTTGTTTGGGAGGTTCCTGATATTAAGAAAAGATTCCTTGCTGAGAGCTAAGTACCTGGAGAAGAGGAAATCTACCGTTTAAAAACTGAAGGTATCAATATGCAGGTATGATAGTACTTGTTAATTTTTACTTCATTTTATTACTACCAGGAACTGAGGAAGCATTCTGACCTGCTCAATGTTAGGAAAGTATATACTAACAATATACACACTATTGCCTCCACTTTTAGCATTTAAGCTGCTGCTGTAGCCATTATCAAAATTAATAACCATATACAATGACTGGTCACAGGAATTTCTGTATGCTTCTCCTACAGGAAGTATCAAGTGTATTCAATGTGTATGGCATATCAGTTAATCATCATCACCTGTCCCTTATTGCTGATTACATGAGATTTGATGGAGACTATGAGTCCTTTAGTAGGTTTGGTATGAACAGTAACAGCTCTCCATTCCAACAGATGAGTTTTGAGACTACAATGAAGTTCTTAAGAAGTGCAACAGTTAGAGGAGATGTTGATACTCTTTAGTCGCCCTCAGCTTGTCTGGTGACTGGTAATGTGGTCCATGGGGGGACTGGAGCTTTTCAATGTTTACAAAAACTAGTTATGTGATCTTAATTGTTTTATTGAATTAACTTAATAATTAATATTTCACTTGCATCATTTTAATTGCAGCGAGCCAGTTTATCTTATATGATTCAACTCACCATACATGTTCCAGTAAATGTGGCCCATGTTAATACATGAGTAGTGTGGGTGTAATATCCATTGGAACAAACAGAATTTCACCCCTCTGCAGGTCAACTAGCTAGGCCTACCCACAAATCATGTATTGCTTTTATCTCAATTTGAGCTCACTCAGGCTCTCATAATTTGAAATTTTAATGAAAATAATTTTTAAAATGTCTAATTCACACACAAAAAATTAAGTTTTATCTACTCTTGATCTAAATATGTCAGCAAATCTAATAACTAGCAAACACACAATTATTAAAGTCAAAAAGAGTGATGTTACAAGGTAACAAAATTAATACGTGTTAAAGTCACGAGTTAAAACTGATTTCAGAGCTGAGCAAAACATTTCGTAGTCTCCTTCAAACTGGCATGGAAAAATTAGTTCTCCTGAACAGCTATGAGTAGCTATTGTCCCCATGCGATCTGCTTCAAATTTTATTTCAATTGACTTTGGGAGGACTGAGATCCTGCCTGTAATACTGAGTGCAAATTCCTTCAAACCTACAATACAGTAGAGAGAGTAAAAATCAGTTAAACAACTGTGGAATTGATTCAAAACTTGTAATTAATGCTACATTCTATACATATATACCTTCTGAATCACATTCATCAATATATTTCTTCAGATAACGTAAAATGATACTTTCTTGTGCAATGAATGAATCCTCATTCGGAAAAATTAGGGATTTTTGAACTTCTTCAGAAGTAAGCTCTGTAAAAGTAAACAGAGGTTGAAATAGGGCTGGAAATGCTCTCAGTAGAGGATAGAGAGAAGTAGCCTTCAATCCTTCAACAAATTGATCGAGTAATTTTGAATGCTTGAACAATGCTTCATATGTGATGATATCCTGAACTATTATATTTTTTGTAGAAGGCTAAAAACCAATGAATAACTCTTTAAACGATAATGGTGACTTACATTAGGAATCATTGTAACTCCACAACGACTAATAATATCAAGGATTAGTTCATCTTTCATAACCTCTTTTCCATCATCTTCAGTCTTAATATCTTGCAACTAATAGTTTCGAAGAAAGACATAACGTTACTATAAATATAATATCATACTACTCCTATATAGGTATAGCACAATATAATACCATGTGTGGGTAGTAATTGCATAACAATACCAAAAGTGTCAGTTAAAATGCTGCATATGCACATAGCAGTGAGAACTTTCTAAGGCCTTAGTTTATATCTGTAAAGGCTTTTTAATATTAAAAATGATGTATAATAAGTAATTAGAATAAAAATTTGATGCTATAGTCGTTACCTTTGATATAACTGCAGCAACACCAGCACCAATATCATTATCTGAACATACTTGAAGTGCTTTCTCCTCACCTTCCACAATATAAGTGTAATTTGTCAATGAAAAAAATGGGAACCCAATGCCATCCTGCCATATACTATGCCCAACCATACTGCCTAAGATTTTGAATAATCCACTTGACCTTGCTTCTGCAGTACAAGCAGGGCTAAGACTGTGTAAAGGTCCAGTGAATAATTCTATATGCTTATTACAATGGAATTCATTGTATACTGTTGAATATACTTGACGGCGTACACCTCCTGCATCTATGGCAAGTGTATTACTCAACTTGATGAATAGTCGCTCTCCAAAATCAACACTACCAGACTTATAATGGCGTACAATATCACGCCACATGTCATCTGTATGTACTGTAACAACGACTGATTTTGCAGACTCCATCTTCTGATTTAACATTGATAAAATTGATTCCAATGTTGGACCCTCCTTTAAACACTTCATTGAAGCGTCAGAGCTAAACCCAGAAGATTTATAAATTGCAGCAGCTTGCTCTCTAGTAACTTTTCCTTCAAATTCCTTTAATAAAGCTCCTAAGTTATCAGCAACATTAGTTTTACTCCGCTATACATGCAACATAAAGTGACTGATGATAATTTGAAATAAATTACTTTACTAATCCAAAACTCAAGCATTTCAGCATTACCAGATCTACCAGCACACTGCAGTAGAGTTTCACCATCCTACCATAAAATACATACAAAAATGGCAAAAAATGTTTAAAAAATTATGTAATTTTACTATGCTACACAATGAATAGTCATCACTATTCTAATAGGTAGCAAGTAGTAAGTATAAATACTTTTATATATTTAAATAAAAATTGAAATTAAATTTTACTTACTTTATCCACAACATCAGTTCTAGCTCCATTAGTTAACAGAATATCAACAGCTTCAATACTACCTTCCTTAACAGCATTAAACAATGGAGTTCTTTTTTTCTTTAATACAACATGAAGTGACTGATAATTTGAAATAAATTACTTTATCTAAAACGTTAACATCATAATCTCCTCTTTTTATCCAAAACTTAAGCATTTCAATCTTACCGGATTCAGCAGCACAATGTAGTAATGTTTCACCATACTATGATAATATAAGAAGAAAAAGGCTTTTATGCCATATATCAATAGTCTCAAAAGCTAGTTTCTTCCATAACAATACTACTTCACAATGTATAGCAAGTATAGTAGTACTATATTTGTAAATAATTGAAAAATTGAAAGACTGAGTTATGATCCTTATAATAACTGATGCTCACATGCTCATGTGATGCATGCGGTTGACAAAATTGCATTTTATATTTTATTATTGTAAAGGGAGAAATACCAAATACTGCAGAGTACTTGATGTCCATCAGTACAAAAGAGTATTAATTAGTATCAATGATTGGAGTTGATTTAACTTTGAACAGCTATCTTGAGGCTTAAGAGAATAGTCAATAGCTATATTCTATTTTAATGATTAACTGCAATAACAGTAATTGTTCAGCTGCTAAGGTCCATTCATGGTAAGCAATGAATAAAAGTTGCTTGTATTATATTCATGTGTTTACTAGAGAAAAGTACTTACATGTAATATAAAATTACTTAATTGGTATCAGACTATCAGGATCAACACAAAACAGGCTCCTCTAATTCTAATTTTATCAAATTACATTTTGCAGTGCTAATTGTTATTTCTTCAAAACTGATGTAGAAGAAATAAAAGTGTGAGCATATATGCATTGGATCAATTTGCATGTGGGTGAAAACAGGTGTGATTAACACTGCTACCAATTTTTGACATAAACAGTATAAAAAAATTTACTTTATCCACAACATCAGTTTTAGCTCCATTAGTTAATAGAATATCAACAGCTTCAATGTTACCTTTCTTAACAGCTTTAAACAATGGAGTTCTCTTCCACTATAATACAACACAAAATGATACAATTAGAAATGATTATTTGATAACTTTACCTCATCCACAACATTTACATCAGCCTTTCCTTTAGTCACTAATAACTTGATAATTTTACTGTTACCAGTCTGAATGGCACAATGTAATGGAGTGCTACCATCGAACTATAAAAAAATAATTTCTGATTAATGGTTGTGTGGGCTAGATCTAATGGTTATGAGTCAATTAATGATCAAAAAATCATCTCAGTGAGGACTTAGAGAGTTGAAAAATACAAAAACTCATTGAAGAGCTACATTAATGCTCAATCACAGATGATGAATTTAACATTTATTCATCCACAAAAACTGTGTGTGACACGGCAATATAACTTACTGCTGATGTATCGGCAACATCAGTTCTTGCTCCATTAGTTAATAGAATATCAACAACTTCAATACTACACCTATACTTCACAAGAGCATTGAACAATGGAGTTCTGTTTCTCTATAATATACAAAATTAAGTGACTAGCTCTTATAATTAAAAATGAAATTACTTTATCTTTAGCATTCACATCATGATCCCCCCTCTTAATCCAAAACTCTAACATTTCAACTTTACCAGATTCAGCGGCACAATGTAGTAGAGTTTCACCATCCTATGAACAATATCAATGATTATTCCAAACAAAAGTGGCTAGTTTTCTTAACTATACTATATCCCAACTGAGTTTGACACCAGCCGCTTGGAATTTGAAAAATGTAGGTATACGTCACTGATGACGTCTTATAATGATATTCATAGAAGCATGGCTGACATTTTACAGCTGCGTAGTTGGCCTGTATTACACTCTTAAAAAGGTTTTGTTTGTTCTGATAAGCAGTACAATAGCTGCTGGAGTCAACTAGTCTTCATAAAGGCCATCATTATCAGAAAATCTTGCTCTATTAGCTTTTAAAAGTAAGAATTATCAGTTTGGATGCTCGACCACATGTTCTTATGTAAACTATGACGTAGATAAATTGTCATAAAACGTCATTTTGGTATGCCATTGGGTTTATAGGGAGAACCCGGTTCTCAGGGTTCCCAAGGGCTGAGAGACCCAAGACCTGAGATCCTGTGATGGCATTGGGCGACTAAGAACCTGTAAAAGTCTCACCCTTATCCCACATTCCTATAAAAAGTTATTCCAGTTTTTCTTGGGTCAAACTCAACGGTCAAGTTGGGATATAGTATAGTTTAACACTACCTGGTAATAGCATGTACTAATTACATTTATATAGCAAGTTAGATCTATATTTACTTTATCCACAACATCAGTTTTAGCTCCATTAGTTAATAGAATTTCCACAACTTCAATACTACCTTTCTTAACAGCATTAAACAATGGAGTTTTGTTATCCTATAAATACAACACAAAAATGATACAATTGGAAATGATTATTTAATAACTTTCTTTACCTCATCGACAGCATTCACATCAGCTTTTCCTTTAGTTATTAATAATTTAATAATTTCACTGTTACCAGTTTCACTAGCACAGTGCAATGGAGTGCTATCATCATCCTATATATATTATTTAATCATAATTATTATTCAACCTAAATAAGCTCATTCAAAACTTTTATATGTGTAGATTAATGACTATGAGTCAAAAATAATCAATGGATGCTAGTATTACTTCTGTAAGGAGACAAAATGACTTCAAAAATGATCATGTAAAATTGTTGGAGTACATGAGCTAGTAACACATGGTCCTAATGCTGTGGCTCATGCAGACGTGATGCTCATAATTTTTGGTCGCACATAAAAAATGCTAAAAAGATGACACTTCTCTAACTTTTTAGTACATATAACCAAGTGTAGATAATAGATCTACTCTTGATATAACTTACTGTATCCACAACATCAGTTCTAGCTCCATTATTCAATAAAATATCAACAGCTTCAATACTACATCTATACTTATCAAGAGCATTAAACAATGGAGTTCTATTTCTCTATATGATACAACATAAAGTGACTAGATCTAATTAGTAGAAGTGAAATTACTTTATTTGTAACATTCACATCATAGTCTCCTCTCTTAATCCAAAACTCAAGCATTTCAACTTCATTAGATTCACTGGCACAATGTAGTAGAGTTTCACCATCCTATATAAACAATAATGTATAGTGCATGCATAATAACACAATTTTGCAATTTTCATAATCAAGCAACCATACACCTTCAAACCTTGCTATGTATTCCTAGTTACAATGCATTAATATTGTAGATGATAATACTGTTGCTTTGTCTATTCTGTGTAATTTACCTCCCTATCATCTCAATTTTGGGTGAGAATTATACTGGTGAATGTTGGCACTTGTTTTGTTCCATGTATAGGCAATACAAAGCTATGTGCATATTGTCATATCCCATCCTTCTTTATTTTATAAAATTAAGTCGAATTTGTATTTTGATATCTATGAGTAATCATTTTACTCAATCAGGCAGTAGCAAGTATTACATGTATCTTTTAAAATTAAGACATACTTTATCCACAACATCAGTTCTAGCTCCATTAGTTAATAGAACCTCAACAGCTTCAATACTACCTTCCTTAACAGCATTAAACAATGGAGTTCTGTTCTTCTATAAATACACAAAATGATGCAATTAGAAATTATTATTAATAACTTTACCTTATCCACAGCATTTACATCAGCCTCTCCTTTAGTTATTAATAATTCGATAATTTTACTGTCACCAGTTTCACTAGCACAGTGTAATGGAGTGCTATCATCATGCTATTATGAATAAATTGAAAAAATCAAGGATATTGTAAATGTATTTTATTAAAGGATAGTCTCCAAAAAATATAAAATCATTGAATCATGTGCAGGAACCAAAAAATCCTTATGCTGGTAAGCACAAATGATGCACATCAACCCAAAAAATGGCAAATATTAACATTAACACTCATCTAATTTTTAAAATGGAGCATGCACAATAAAACTTACTTCATCTACAACATCAGTTTTAGCTCCATTAGTTAATAAAATATCAACAGCTTCAACACTACTATTAAACCTCTCAAGGGCACTGAACAATGGAGTTCTATTCCTCTATATTTTAAGATAAAAAAGTCAGTGACTAAAAGATCCAAATAGAAATTAAATTACTTCGTCTTTAACATTCACATCACAATCCCCTTTCTTAATCCAAAACTCAAGCATTTCAACTTCACCAGATTCACTGGCACAATGTAGTAGAGTTTCACCATCCTATGATAATATTATTAAAAATAATATCCATATTCTAAATAAAACAAGCCTTCTTCTTTAATCAACACTATCTGATAGTAGCAAATATACTGTAATTATCTTATTTAGAAAAATTAAGTAGAATTTCACTTACTTTATCCACAACATCAGTTCTAGCTCCATTAGTTAATAGAATATCGACAGCTTGAATATTACCTTTCTTAACAGCTTTAAACAATGGAGTTCTGTTGTTCTTAAATACAACACAAAATGATGCAATGAGAAATGATTATTTATAACTTACCTTATCCACAGCATTCACATCAGCTTTTCCTTTAGTTATTAATAATTTGATAATTTTACTGCTACCAGTTTCAATAGCACAGTGTAATGGAGTGGTACCACTGTACTATAAAAATAAAATAAATTACAAAAATGTACAATTTATTGATGCTTGTTTGGGCTAATGTTTGTGTCAGTGATAACCTCTGGGAGAAAAATGCCAAAAACAGCATAACTTACTGATGTATCCACAACATCAGTGCTAGCTCCGTTAGTTAATAGAATATCAACAGCTTCAACACTACTATTAAACCTGCTAAGAGCACTAAACAATGGAGTTTTATTTTCCTATAATACAACATAAAATGAAAAATAGACCTAATTATTAGAAATGAAATTACTTCATCTTTAACATTCACATCATAATCTCCTTTCTTGATCCAAAACTCAAGCATTTCAACTTCACCAGATTCACCAGCACAATGCAGTAGAGTTTTGCCATCCTATAACAAATGATAACAATTATATAAATAATGCAATAATGCATGTCATTATTCCAAAACAAAAGAGCCAGCTTCTTATCATGCCATCAAAATGAGTATTTAAAGCTGGTATAGTAGCAAGTGTTAGATCCAATAGCATATTTTGTAGAATTTTACAGGCTTACTTTAGATACAACATCAGTTCTAGCTCCATTAGCTAATAAAATATTAACAGCTTCAATACTACCTTTCTCAACAGCATTAAACAATGGAGTTCTGTTTTTCTATAAATACAACATAATAATTATGATACAATTATTAATAACTTTACCTCATCTACAGCATTCACATCAGCCTTTCCTTTAGTTATCAATAATTTGATAATTTTACAGTTACCAGTTTCACTAGCACAGTGTAATGGAGTGCTATCATCATCCTATATAAATAATTAAGTATAAATGTTAATTAACAGCAATGGAGCAAATCAATGTTGAAGGTTTCATTAAATAAATTTGCACCTCTGTGAGAGATTTAGAGACTCAAAAAATGAATAAAATCATTGAATTGTGTAAAAAAAGTGAACTAAGCAACACTTGATTTTTAAATGCTGCTAAAACACACAGAATGTACACAAACACATTTTACTTTTGGTCACCCACAAAAAATACCGAAAATATCAATAATAGTAACTTACAGCATCCATAACATCAGTACTAGCTCCATTAGTTAACAAAATATCAACAGCTTCAACACTACTATTAAACCTGTCAAGAGCATTGAACAATGGAGTTCTATTCCTCTGTAATACGTACAACATAAAGTGACTAGTGATTATTTCAAATGCATTACTTTATCTTTAACATTCACATCATAATCTCCTCTGCTAATCCAAAATTCAAGCATTTCAACTTCACCAGATTCACTGGCACAATGTAGTAGAGTTTCACCATCCTATGACAAAGGAAACCCTGTAACATTATTTTTATCACAGAATCAAAAATTAACATTGTCAGGTATTAGTTACTCTTTTTAAACAATTATTCTAGTAAAATTTTACTTACTTCATCCACAACATCAGTTCTAGCTCCATTAGTTAATAGAATATCAACAGCTTCAATACTACCACTCTTAACAGCATTAAACAATGGAGTTTTTTTATTCTATATAGATACAACACAAACATATACAATTGGAATGATTATTAATTAATAAATTTACTTTATCCACAACATTCACATCAGCCTTTCCTTTAGTTATTAATAATTTGATGATTTTACTGTTACCAGTTTCACTAGCACAGTGTAATGGAGTATCATCATACTATTATGAGTAATAGATAAGCCTTATGTACAAATTAAATTAAATTTAGTTAATTTTTCAGGATATAAAAATAGGTATACATGTATGTAATATTTTGTCAAAATGAAATCATTTT